TCATGCCTGGTCATACCGAGGCACTGCGTTCCTGGCCTAGGAAACCAGTGAGGGGGACCTGGCATCAGATTCCTTCTGCATCTTTATCACTGGAAATGCCTGCCCTCAGCCCAGCCTGGCTGGAGAATGGTGGATTTTAAAAAGGGAGGCTTCTCTTTGGGGTAGGAGGAACATGATTCAGCACAAGCAGCAGATCAGGAACTTGGAGGCCAGGCCCTCCCATCAGCCTCTGCTCTCCTGCAGCCACCTCGGCAGAGCCCCAGCCTGCACCTGCTGCAGGGGACCCTCAGTGTGTGCCTACGGGGGCTGGGCACGGTGCCACACCTCTCTTCAAGAACCCCACCGCCTGGCAGGCTGCCAGGAACAGCCAAGCCCCACGGACATCGCTCCCAGGAATTCAACCACACGGAAAGCAAACGCACCAGATCTCATGACTGTTCTAACGAGCTTGGCAAATAAGCCCCCAGATGCACAGCTGGTGATCCCAGTGCTTTCTGAGGACACGCTGACAGGAGTGGCAAATGCACATCCTTACAGCACACAGGCTCACTCAAGAATGTCACCAGCCTGCGGGGGATCAACACCCCGCTAGAGACCACACTGGCGGCAGGGTCTCCATGCCAGTTAGTAGGCTGTTCTGACAGACAAGATAGACATCAAAAGACAAGCCACATGCATATTTCAATGCTAACCAGTGTGACTGATCTACACGGCAACTAGAACTCAGCGCCAAGGGTGACAGAGCCAAGAAGTGACACTGGAAGAAAGGACGTTCTTAGCTGGAGACAGACTCAGGTCAAGCCCAAGAGTGCGCATCTCCCTGGTGGCCCTCCAACCTGCTCCCCTACAGAGATTGTCTTAGGTGGGGGGAACAGAGGGCAAAGGTCACCTCCCAGGGTTATTCTGCCCATTTTTCTACCTCTGGAAAGATGTCACTGTGTAGTAGCACACCTGCTCCTGTTCTCCCTGCTTTCTCCTGAGAGGGCCTGACTGGGTTGGTTTTCTGCCTCTCACCACGGTGCAGCGCTATTGCCCAGAGCTGTCCTCTGTCCTAGCCCCACCCAGTGGTGTGGGCTGCCACGTCTGAGGGTCCTCAGGGAGCATCCAAGTGTTTGTCCATTATCCAGCCCCCTTGGGGAGTGAATCACCCTCGGTCCGAAAAGTTTTGTTCTTGCCTTAGTTGATGAGGTTCATGTTTCCAGGCGTAGAGTGAAGTTGGCCTCACCATCTTGGTCACGGCAGATGGGACCAGCAGTCCACGCCATAGTCACACCACTGGGTGGGGCTAGGACAGAGGACAGCTCTGGGTAATAGTGCTGTACCATAGTGAGAGGCAGAAAACCAACCCAGTCAGGCCCTGTCAGGAGAAAGCAGGGAAAACAGGAGCAGGTGGGCTACTTCATGGTGACATACCACAGGGAGACGGACCCTTTATTCCAGCGGCTCCATGAGGCTGGCTGTCTACAGTGTCTGACATTTTGGGGACTCAGGGAAAGTGCTAGGCTGAAGAGGTGATCCCCAAGTTCCAAGTAGGTTTGGACTTGTCTTCTGTGACTAAAGGTCACTTCTTCCCAAGACTTTTTTTTTTAAGATTTATTTATTTATGCATACAGAATTGGGGTACAGGCCAGACGTGCAGGGGCAGTGAGAGGATTCACAAGAGACAGAGCGGGAATCAGAACAGGCAGATTGATGAAGTACATTGCTGAGGGGAGCAGCGGGCGTGTCTGCCGCACCATGTGGGTCACTTCGGGGCGAGTGGGGATCGAGCTCATGCTTACGTGGCTTTAGCTTCTTAATGCTATGTTTTAACCCACTGCACCAGGTAGACAGAATCCAAAAACTCCTTGGGACTGTCCAAAGAAAGAATACCAAGACCAGAAAAGAAAAGACAGAATAAATAGCCTCACCAGACCCAAAGTCAAGGAGATTCTCTTGTCTGTTATCATCAGCACCGTGAGAATGTGTCCTGATTTGCTGAGCCAACACAATATCACACGCTTTGTAGCATTTACTCTGCTCAGAACCTCAGATAGCCTTTGGGAAATGAGGGGACGCAACTCAGAGAGGTTATCTGCTCGGTGCATGGCCAAAGCAGACTAAGCAGCCACCCAGCTAGAGGCTGGGTCCAGGCTCTTCTTAGGATTTCACTGCTCCTAAAGGGGAAGGGATGCTTTCTCCTCCTTCGAGGCAGTTTCCTGGCATCTGCCTGTACCCTTGGCCACAGTTCAGGACTGTTACCATTAAATGAGGCCTCCTGATATCTCTCCAGTAAATGACAAGCCCAGACAAGCCAGAGAGCTGCCAGTCAGTGAAATCACCCTTTCATATTTCAGATGCAAAAGAACAGCATTCAGAGGTATCAATAGCCATACGTGGCCTTGGGGTGTCTGTTTCCATATTCTGGGTCTCTACCAAGTCACACAGCAGGGAGGAGTGATGGCACCATGCTGTAAACCCTCTGAACTTCTTCCAGATTGTATATGTTAGTGCACCTGTCAGGAAGAGTGCCCATAGATTTCTGAGGGTCTCAAAAAGGGTAAGGACTCGAAGAGGTTATGAACCATAAGAACTGAGGATCCAGAGTCTCTGCCAAACCTAGGGCCTGGGCCCACATGAGTCTGGCAGCCAAACACACGCTACCAAGCCTAGAAGAAAATGCTGTGCCAATTGGGGTGGCTGTTCCCGTTACTGTCCGGGCTGCAATCACTCCTGGTCTGTTCTGCTCATTGCCGCCCACCCTGAGTCCTGGACTGGGTCCCACCTCGGGGTGGGCAGACCCCAGTGTCCACTGGGTTGCTGCAGACCCAGTCTGTCTAACGCCGAGGGAGACCCTGGGTGTTCTCATGTCTCCCAATGACTGCTCATTCCCTTTCTGAACATCACCACCTCCAGACTAGAGGAAGAAACTGGAGAGGAAAATACGATTTGGGAGAAAAAGTCACTTCAGTGTACTACACAGATCCAGCGCCACAATCTTCCCAGCAGCCTCAGGGTCCTAGAAAACCCCTCAGGACCCTAGAAAACCGCCTCTCTGTTGCTGGAAACTGTACTTGGCTCCTACACTGTCCAGGGCCCTCGGTCACTACCTGGAGGGCCCCAGATCAAGCAACAGCTCCATGAGAAGTTCCTTGCTGGAGCTGGACCTCACCATTAGCAGAGGTCAAGGGGGCCTCACATAGATGGTGGCCATAGGCCTGGAGCTGGTCGGCATGTTATTCTGCCTCTTTCACAGAACAGGGGCAAGTCTGACCAACCTGCCCCCGCCTCATTACTCTGCCAGTCCTGCCAATAAGACACGTGTCAGGACACGAACAAGACCAACATTTCTCAGGAATGATCCCTGTCTCTAGGACCCTGTGGGAGTTCCAGGGTACCTACTCTGGGAAGCTGGGAGACACTCAGCTTCCCCGAGCTGAAATCACATTCAGCTCGGAGGACAGAGCTGCCCAGAGCAGCTGCCTCCTCCTGTGGCCCCACCCGCCTAGCCGTGGGAAATACTGGCTTTTACTGAACCCTCCCACCTCGGCCAGCCCCCTGAATGCCTGTATAAACCCCAAAGCACCCTCCTTCCTGTGCTGGGTGAACAGCACGTGATCAGTAAAACCTTCTTATTGTCTGGTGTGCAAATGGGATATGATGGTCTGGAAAATCCATTATTCTGCTCGAAAGCAAAAGAGTTTTCTCCATAGAGGCCATACACTGGTTTCCAGTTTTTGAAAGACAAAGAAACACACATTGCTAAAGTTATATGGTGCATATAACACACCTATCTTTGATGATTCAATTCAGAGAAAGGCACCTGGAGATCCAGCAGCATCCCTGGCATCCTTCTGGATGCTGTTTGGACAAAGGCATGGGCAGCATCACTGCATCTTCTAAGTCCTCAAATCTCTGCTTCCCTCTCTCTGGTCAGCACACACGCGCGAACACACACTCCCGGGTAACAGCATACCAGCTACCAGGGGCGGGTGCTACAGAATCCAGGAGGGTATGCACCCCAGTGGGTTCTGGGGGCTCCTTCCAGGAAGGAGTCTCTTTCATCAAGGATGGAAAAACTTCAAAAAGGCCACCTGAGGTTTCCCCTCCCCCATCTGAAGTAAACTCCACTACTCCTGGGATCAATCCAGCAAGAATATGGGGTCTGCATTTGGTGACTCCCCAAAAGCCCAGGCAAGACAGCCTGATTGGTGATGCCAGAGGCAGTTTTGCCCACTGCCAGCGAGGTATAGCCTTCTCCATTCCCTCAAAAGAAAGTGTAGAAGGAAAACAAGACAAAGAGAGCAGTGGGTAAAGCTCAGCCCAGGGCAGCCCCAAAGCAGACAGGACTGGCCAGATCTGCAGTGAGTCCCAAACCGGTGGGATAGAGACAGGGACAGGTGGAGAACAGAGTGCTGGCACCTCCCGAAGTCCTGCCAGTCAGGCAGTCACACAGGAAACCAAGTCCAGCTTCCCTCTGTCTCTCTCCACTGCTTTCAGCAGGGGCTCGAGGTTGAGCACCTGTCAAAGTTGGGCGGTGATGATGGCACGGTCGTCCCTTTGAAAACGACCTAGGGGCTCTCACCTTTACAGTGCCCTGGGGTTCCCCCTAAGGAAACCAGGATCAGCTGACAAGTGCGCATTCCTTGAGGACCCTTGGCAGGGTCGACCACCAGTGGGTTGAGGAGAAAAAACGCCCCGGCTCGTATGGGTCATCCCTCCCCATAAGTCCTCCCACCAATCATCCCTGGGGACAGCCTCCTTCCCTGCCCGCGAAGAAAGAGCAGGGTCATTACTCCAACAGGTCCCCCCTCACCGGGGCCTCACCGGCCAGCGTTTCCTCCGCCCTGCCCTGAGGCCTCAAATTCAGAGAGAGCACCGTAGCACCTGCTCCCAGACTGGGCTCCACAACCCCGAGAGGGGTCCCTGGGCGGCGCCTCCGGGTGCTCCCCAGCTTCCTCGGGAAGGGGCGGGGCACTCCCGGGACCGGCGCGCCCCCCGTGTCCCCTCCTCGCGCTCACCTGGCGCAGGTGCTGCAGCAGCGTCCCCGCCTCCTCCCGCCGGCCCTGGCGCACCATCCGCAGCAGCTCCTGGACCATGCCGACGCGCCGGTGGTAGGGGGGCAGCCCCGCGCCGGCGCCCGCGCGCCCCGCCTTGTCTCCGGCGCGGAGCAGCAGCGACGCCCAGAAGTCGGGCCGTTCGCGGCGGGAGCCGGACGCCGCGCCGGGGCTGGTTCTCTCCGCCAGGCTGCCTTTGG